ACCCTTTCCTCCCCTAGATGCTTTTGGTCATGGTGTTTCAGCACAGCAATGGAAGCCAAGGCAAACCCCTTCCTATTCATCAGCTAATCCCAGGGTACCACCGGATTCATGGTGCCTCACCTGCACTTCCTGCACCTGGGGGTGTTTGTGAAAGAAATCCTCCAGCTCTGCAGGGTAGATGTTCTCACCACCCCTGATGATCATGTCCTTAGAACGGCCTACGATCTTGCAGAAGCCCTGCTCATCCATCGTGGCAATGTCTCTGGAAGGAGACACCCAGCTGTGACATCTCACCTCTGCTTTTGTGGGCTAGTCCACTAGCTCTCTTGTTCACTCAGTCACAAAACATTTATTGAGCATCTACTGTGTCCCTCCCCCCACTGCTCTAGACCCTAGGAGTCCCAGCAGGAACAAAAAGCACACTGTTGAAGTCTATAGCCTAGGCCGAAAGAGGAAAAAAAATCCTATTCTGTCTTCCTATTTCTATATTGGCTTGTCTTTATGAATGGCTTCTTTTTTAATCATTTAGGTCTCAGCTCAAATGTTTCCGGAGGCCTTCTCTGACCTGGTCTAAGAAAATCCTCTTTCTCCGCCGCCACCAGTTCCTCTCCTGTGACCCCCATTTGATTTTTTTGATGTCTGAAATTATCTGTCTTCTTCCACCAGACACGTGGGAAGAGGCAGGCCCCTTCTCATCTTGCTTCCCACAGACCCATCAGGTTGAGAACAGCACTGGCACGTGGCAGGTGTGTACGGGGAACGTGCAGACCTACTACACGACACACGCACGGGTGTGGGGTTTAGCTCAGTGGTGGAGCATTTGCCTTGCAAGACCCTGGGTTCAGGCCTCAGCTCCAGGAAGGGAGGAAGGAATCATTCTAGGGACTGGAGAGAACGCTCACCAGTTACAAGCTCTCGCTGCTCATGCAGAGGCCCCTGTGTCTGACTAGTAAACCATTCACTAAAAACTGGCTTGGATTCTGGGGGTGCAAAGGAAGTGTGACGACGTCCTAGTGTCTCTTCACTGTGAGAAGAGCTTCACCCTGGCACATGTTTTGACTTAGGGAAATTTTGTTGTTGTTGTTGTTGCTTGTTTTGAGACAGGGTCTCATGAGAGTGACCTTGAACTTCTAATAATGCTTGCTTTTACCACCCAAGCACCAAGATTACAAACATATGCACTATCATGCCCAGAGTTGAGTGACACTAGAGGTAGAGTCCAGGGCTCTGTGCATGTTAGACAAGCACCCTCCCCCTGGACTGCGTCCACAATCCATTCCTTTTCCCATTATCGGACACAAGGTCTCACATAGCTCAGGTTGGCTCTCAACTCACTCTGTAGCTAAAGCTGACCCTGCCTCTACCAAGTGCTGGGCTTACAGGCATGTGCACCCTGCCAATTCATGTGGTGCTGAAGGCTGAGCCCAGTTCTTCACATGTACTAGGCAAGGACACTAGCAGCTAAGATGCACCTCCAGCAAGCCCTGGAGGTGTTTCTTCCTCTCCTCCCCGATGTCCCCACAATACTGGGGGTTGAATCTGTGGCCTCACACATGGCATCCAAGAGCAACCAAGATACACCCTCAGACAAGTTTTAGAAGTCAAGTCTCTAGGACAGGACTTCTGCGTGCTGGTGTAGTTACCCTAGCTCAGCCCCGGAGGCCCAGCCCCGTTGGGTTCCACGTCATCTCGCCATCTCACCCTGTCCGGTACCACTTGTCTTGTCCGACTGTTTCGAAGGTCTTCTGTGGCTCGCCCCAGTAGCCCTGCATGACGCAGTACCCGCGGATGTACAGCTCCCCCGGTGTGTTCAGCTTGGTCAGCTCCCCTGTCTCCATGTTCACAATCTGGGCCTGAGACAGCAGGTCAGTTTCCGGAGTGAGCCTCCCACTCTCTCGCTTCCCCGGGAATGGGGGGAGCGTTGCTTTCTTTCCCCCCCACCCGCCAAGAAATGAAGCTGCTGGCTCTACTTATTCTAGTCCAGGGAAAGGAAAAAGAGGCTCGAATAACCATGGAGAGGGTATGTGTGCGTGGCGGGGTGCCACATGCCTTTTAAGTTCCCGCTCTGGCTGTATTTTTACACGGGGTGCTGGAAAGTGAGCAGCCCCAAAGGAGGCCTGAAGAGTGCCAGGCCAGACGCTGAGCCATGGGGAAGCAAAGGCCATTGTCTCCCCTCACTTCCCACAAGGCAGGAAAGCAACAGCATGGCCGTGCCATGTGATCAGGAGACGGAGAATTCGAAATCCTAGCACACAAAGAGCCACAGCCAACGTGCCAAGGAAAACTGGGTCTGGGTGCTTCCGTGTCTGCACTTGGGGATGGGGAGAAAGACGGCTCCCTGACAAATCCCCACAGTGCATCCCAAAGAGGCACAGAAACTCGGGTAATATCTGAATGAAGCTACATGGTTGGAGCCAGAGAGGAGTCATAGCTAGAAGTCTGAGACTGGGGGGTGTCCTGGGGCCTTTGAAGTGGAAGGAACCTCCAAGGGACAGATGGCTCGGGAAAAGAAGAGTTTATGCTCAGACAGAAGAAAAGCACGAGGCAGGGGCCTGAGGGAAGAAAGAGCTGCTTAAGGAAAAAAAAATCTCTGTGCTCTGGCTCATTTTTGAGACGGGTCTAGCTGCCCCAAGACAGACAGTAGGCTTGGCAAAAACACACCTCAGACAGGAAGGGTGGCTGAGGGGAGGCTCAGCTGGCGGCTGCTCTGGGCTGCCTTGCCAGTTCTTCCCCTTCCTTGCTTCAACCCACAAAGCCGGGCCAGGTCCAGCAAGCCCCCATCGCTGGGCCCTCTAAGTCAGTGAGCTGCTTGGATGTCTGAGGGAAAGCCCCAACTGTCCTCAAGTCGTGTGAGGCAGGCTGTGAGGGCGTCTGCCAGGGGCTCACCTCCGTGTGGGGCAAAATCCTGCCCACGCTTTCGGCCTTCTGCTCCAGGGTGTCCTCCGGGTCGTTCATGAAGGTCACGGGACTGTTCTCTGTGGTTCCATAAACAACCTAGAGGGGCGAAAAAGACTGCTTGCAGGGAAGTGGGTGACAGCAGAGGGCAGAGATGGCCTACCCTGGGTAGCTGGATGGGGAGAACTGGGCTGAGGGGACAGGAGGCAGGGGTCAGGAACCAAAGTGCAGATCTCTGCAGGGACCCTGGCATGAAACAAACTTGAGAATAGCAGCCAGTCTCTGATGGCCAGGGTTCTGTCACTCCCCTGTGGCGCCTGCGGCTTCCGGCATCACCAGTTCCTTCTTTTCTCCCATCTCCAGGTTGATTCAGTCCTACCTTCTTGATTTCAGGCCACAACATCCTCTGTCCCTCTCTTCGTAGCCAAAGGCCCCATAAACTTGATGAGAAAGCCAGCTTGATCTGGCTGGGAGTGGTTCAGACACACAGACACAACCCCCCCCCCCAACTGGGACAGTGCCTGTTCTTAGGGTGGGTACCCGGCAAGCTCCAGAGACTTTCCTATGCATTTCTTTTCATCAAAACAAAAATACAGCCAGAGCAGGAATGTGAAAGGCTTGTGGTACTTCCAGTGGTCAGGACTCTGTGCAACAGAGAAACTAGCAGCCAGCCTAAATACCGTCAGAGAATATTCTAGGCCAAGAATGACCCTCCCATTCTAGAGGTAAGGGGTCAGAGGGGCTTGGGGAAGAGCAGGCCTGGAGGCCAAACCCACAACTACGTATTGGGTGTGATGAGGTCTAGACACCTTGGACTCTATCAGGTCTCTGTTGGTGGCCTCCTCTCCTGTGTATCAGGTAGTGTGGTTCTGGCATAGTTGGGATATGGTTTCTCTACCACCTCCCAAAGCAGACAGCATCTCTTGGCAGGCAAGCCAGAGCTTGCCCTGGGCCAAAGCTGTAACCTGTCTGCTCACCCTCCCTTCTCCACAGGCCTCCAGACACGGTGGCTGGCAAGTGAACAGAAGTCCGGTCCACGAGGGCGGGGCTGCCCAAAACCTAGCATCTGGCCGGAGTCAGTAGCCTGAAGCCAGCACCCCACCTCCCAACAGCTCACAAGTCCTGGGGTCATTGGCCAGGTCTGGCCTCTGCCAAGTACACATCGGCGCCACTAGGCTGCCACTCTGAGACCCCTTTAGGGGTGGGTCCTAACCACGGAGGGGGTAGAGGAGGGGGGGATCCCGAGATGGGGATATTTGGGGGAGATTGAGGAGGGAATGTGCTTGTTCAGTGGCCTGTGGGCTCCATGTGTGCTGCCAATCCTGCGGTTCTCCCCCCCCCCCCCCCCTTCCCACTCTTCTGTTTAGCTTTCAGCCTCAGAGAAGGGGAATGAGGGTGCAGAGGACGGAATAAGAAGTCCAGACCTAAGAGAGAGGGGTCATGGGAGAGCCCACAACCCGGGCCCCTACAGGCCTGGTGCCACGGCTCAGAGAAGCGGCAGGGGTAAGCGCACCACTGTCAACCAGCATCATCAACCAGCTCAGCTTGGGGTGAACTGAGGAGGGTCTAGCCAGAAGCGGGAGCCCGGCCCACAGCGGCCCTCACGCTTCGCCTGCAGGGCACAACAGCCCCATTAAAGCGCCGCTGGCTGGCTGACCGCGGCGAGACGCATCCGGCTGTCGGGCCCCACTTCCTCCCTCCGAGCCGAGGGTGACCTGTCTGCCAAGGGTGTATGGGGGAGGGGAATGTGGAGACTCAAACTCGAGCAAATAAATAAGTTCTGGGAACGCCTCCCTCTGCCCAGTGGAAATTCAGAGGTCCTCGACACACCTATTTCCCCACCACCAGGTTGGGGGTCCAGGTAGAGGAAGTTAAAGAGAGGTGAAGCATAGAATTTACGAGCAGAAAGCAACGGCTTGGAGTTCAGGGGAACGGTCCCCAACACTTTGGGTGGTCGCCTGCTGTAGAAAGAGCCCCCAGCCATCGAGGACAGGGGGTGCATTTCTGGGCGGGAGGGGGTTAAATCAGTGGCTTCGATGCTCCACGTAGTAGCTGGCTACGCTGCCAACTGCGGTCAGGGCTGCCCTATAAATGGGCTGGGAGACCCAAGAATCGAGGACTTGCTGCTGCCAGCGTCCCGCCGCCGCAGCCCCCTGCCCTGGCTCCAGGCATCCCAGCCATGGCCCGTGTGCTCTTACTCAGTCTGGGCCTCTTTGCCATCCTCCTGCCGGCGCTGGCCGCCTGCCCCCAGAACTGCCACTGCCATGGCGACCTGCAGCATGTCATCTGTGACAAGGTGGGACTGCAGAAGATCCCCAAGGTGTCAGAGTCAACCAAATTGCTCAACCTCCAGCGCAACAACTTCCCAGTGCTGGCTGCCAACTCTTTTCGGACCATGCCGAACCTGGTGTCGCTGCACTTGCAACATTGCAACATCCGTGAGGTGGCCGCTGGTGCCTTCCGCGGCCTGAAGCAGCTCATCTATCTGTACCTGTCCCACAATGACATCCGAGTGCTGCGAGCTGGAGCCTTTGATGACCTGACTGAGCTTACTTACCTCTATCTAGACCACAACAAGGTGTCCGAGCTGCCCCGGGGGCTGCTCTCCCCTCTGGTCAACCTCTTCATCTTGCAGCTCAACAACAACAAAATCCGAGAGCTGCGCGCCGGAGCCTTCCAGGGTGCCAAGGACCTGCGCTGGCTCTACCTGTCAGAAAATGCCCTCAGTTCCCTGCAGCCTGGTGCCCTGGATGATGTGGAGAACCTCGCCAAGTTTCACCTGGACAAGAACCAGCTGTCTAGCTACCCTTCCGCTGCCCTGAGCAAACTTCGGGTGGTGGAGGAGCTGAAGCTGTCCCACAACCCTCTGAAGAGCATCCCAGACAACGCCTTCCAGTCCTTCGGCAGATACCTGGAGACTCTCTGGCTAGACAACACCAACCTGGAGAAGGTGAGTGCCCGCAGAGTTCTTCTGACCCCTTCCCGGCCGGGAAGCCAGCCTAGTCCCTCCTCCTGGACACCTTGCCCACCAATTATCACCAAAGCAAGGAGTCCTGCCACCTCTCTCAGGCTTTGACACATCACCGCCCCACCCCTTACCTGGCCCCTATGCTTCTCAGCAATGCCCTCTCGGGCTGACTCCTTATAAGAGATGGGCTGTTCTGGTCTCACAAAGGGCCTCTGGGGAGGCCTCTGCCCCAAACCCCACAGTGAGCAGCAGGTACCTCTTCCTGTCGAGCTTTCCACCCCTCCCCTGGCATTTGCCCAGTCTCGGGTAAGCCCGCCGTCCCATAAAGGAAGGTTTGTCCACTGAGACACCTTACAGAGAGGCAGACTCAGACTCACAAAGGGACCCTGTTCTTGGTGGGGGCTGGCCAGTGCACTAAGGTAAAACAAGGGGTTGGAGGATGAGTGGGGGGGGTGCAAATGCCTTTAGGAGACCTCTTCCATACCCTCAGAGACCCTGAAGGATGCCCCATGCCCTCTGTGGGTCCAAACACCCAATTTTACTGCAACCTTAGGTCGTTTCAACTGAGTAGGGAAACCAAGGCTCAGAAACTAAAGGGTCCACCAAGGTGCAGGCTCGGTGCTCCTGGGGCTGGTGAAGGAATACATGCGATCATTGGCATAAGCCCCAAAGTGTCCCCTCACAGAACACAGGCTGACTGTCTCACTGTCCCCCAGACAGCTTGTTGACTCTTGTCTTCCCCAGTCACTAGACCCATGTACCCTCCAGTCCTTCCTCCCCTGGAATGACTGATCTGGCCAGGTGGGGCTATGTAGGAGCAGCAACCCTTTCTTGGAACGAGGAAATCGCCCTGGCACAGTTTCAGCCAGGAGGCTTAGGCAGGGACCAGAACAAGATAGAGGGCAATTTTGTTATTAAAGAAAGTCACATCCCAACCTGGGCTGTGAGAGAGGTCACAGACAGGGAGCTGAGGGCAGAAGCTTGTCTGGGTAGACAGAGCCTTCTGGGTGGGTTTTCTTCAGCCTGGCCTCACTCCAATTGAAGACAGACCACCCTAGTGCCAGAGTGATGGGCACTATAACAGCATATGGAGGTTGATTTGGAATGGAGAACCCAGACAGGAACTGTGGCACCAGGCTCAGATGAGGGCACCAAATATTTCCTCTCAAGCTGTCCATACTGGCCAAAGTCCCCACCAAGGTAGCTCCACAGATAGAATCTGGCAGAGGGCAGAGGAGCAATAAGGACAGTCCTTGGGGAAATCCTGGGACCCTGGGGATGTGGGGAGCATGGGCTCAGTGCCCATCCCACCAAACACTGACCAGGTTCTCTGTGTGCCAGCCTGGGCTCTCCGAACCAAGCTATGGCTGCTCCCCAAACCCAGTGTTTGTGCAGGGAGGGTGCTCCCTTGGAGCTGGGGGCAGGGCGTGGTCCTGCAGCTACTGTTTACTGGCTAGGTGACCCTGCCCAAAGGACTGAACATTTTCCATCTGCACATTGGAAAGGACACCTTTCATTTTAAAAAGGGTGTTGTGGATTACGTCATCTAGACAACTGTCACTCTGCTTGGAAAATTGAAGCTCCTCCACAGACTAAAGCTTGCGTCCAGGCCCCTGACCTCTGAGGAGAGTTAGGAGAGCCTGGACACTGGAACTGAGGTTCTCTCACTTCTGCCTTCCTTACCTCCCAGTTCTCAGATGCTGCCTTCCTGGGTGTGACCACACTGAAACATGTCCATCTGGAGAACAATCGCCTGAACCAATTGCCCTCCACCTTCCCCTTTGACAACCTGGAGACCCTCACTCTCACCAACAACCCATGGAGATGCACCTGCCAGCTCCGTGGCCTTCGGCGGTGAGCACATCCCTCCATATAACGCCCAGTTTCTCCTTCACATGATGGTCCCCAGAGTAGGACAGCCTGAACATACATCCTGGCTGGCTACCTGGGAGGTCTGGGACTCAGTGGCGTTTTCTCACTTGTCAAATGAAGATGACAGCTCCAGATTTTTCTAGGGCCAAGTCCACCCTGGTCACTGTGCCCTCCCCAAGCATTCCCACTCTTTGTCTCCGCAGGTGGTTGGAAGCCAAGACTTCTCGACCAGATGCTACCTGCTCCTCACCAGCCAAGGTCAAGGGTCAGCGTATTCGTGATACAGATGCCCTCCGGAGCTGCAAATCCCCAACCAAGAGGTCCAAGAAAGCTGGCCGCCATTAAACAGGTAGGAGTCAGGCAGGGAGGCCACCACTGTCTGCCTTTGGAATTTCCATCAGGGTCCTGCTGTCTCCCATGATGCCATTTCTGGAGGGGTGATCAGACCCTCTCTTACAGGAAAAGGGAGAACTGAGTCTCCCTTTCCAGGGGCTTGGCCTAGGGTTTCCACCATTCTCTGATGCCATCCGGGTGACTGAAGACCTAACAACCATGCTCCCTCCCTGCAGGTCCTGTCACAACCAGTCCTGGTGCCTGCCTTCTGCTGGAGAGACTACTGACGCCCCCCCACCATCCACACTTCTCCCACAGCCTCTGCCAATACACAGAGCTGCCCGCACCTAGACACATCCTGGCAGGGGGCATTGGACACCCAGTGGGGTCCAAGCAGGGGGGGGGCACAGAGCCTCTCCCCAGCCACTGTGCCTGGGCCCTGCCATGGCTCCTCTCAGAGAAGCTACTGCAGAATTCTCTACCCTGAGTCCATCAAAGCCAAAATGCAGTGGCCACTAGCATGACCACAGCCCTGTGACCACACTCCTCAGTTCCCTCCTTCCCTGCCATTTGGAAACAAACACCAGGCCCTGGTCCCGCCCTTATTGCCAGAAAGGATTTGAAGCCCATCCCCCCAGTCCCCGCCTGCCAGGATGTGCTAACGGGGTACCCATCCCCCAGTCCCCGCCTGCCATGATGTGCTAACGGGCACCGGTGCCTGGCTGCACATCCCCCTGATGCATCTCTGCCCCAGGTTTCTCTAAACATAAATTTATGTGTGTATAACATTCACCCCCCTCTCACCTCTCCCTGTACCTTACCAGGCATTAGTTAATAAGCTCACAGTTTTGTCCCACCTCTGCTCCAGGAAGCAGAGAGTAACCTGGAGTTTGACCTTTGGGCTTGTGGTCTGGCTTGTCAGTCCCTACTCACTAAAGGCCAGACCTTTCCCGGATGGTACTCTGTCTGGTACTGACGGCCGCGCACTCACCACCAGCTCCTTCATGTTCATCTTGCCGATGATGGCTCGGATCAACTCTGGTGGTGCTGGGGACCCAGCGATCACACCTGCATCCGGAAGAGAGAGGGGATGATGCGATTGGTGGTCCAGGCCTGTAGTGCCAGCCGCTCGGGAGGCTGAGACAGGAGAATTGCAAGCTCTGACTGGGATACAGAGTGAGTTCAAGGCCAGCTTGGGTAGCTCCTGTCTCTAAAACAGTCAACAACGGGCTGGGGAGACAGTTCTATTCTAGAGCATTTGCCTGGCATGCAGGAGGCCCTGGGTTCAGTTCTCAGTATCACAGAAAAAATAAGAGAGACGCTAACGCACTTTCCCGCTCTTCAGCCCACTAGCCCTCTTTCACCTACTCCCATAAGGGGACAGCCTCTGAGCCTTGGTACAACACATAAAAGCTGAGGTTGGCCCAGCATCCTGGGACAATTGGGAATTACCCCCACACACCCAAACTCACATTCCTACAGCATCCCTTTCTGCATCCTACGTAAAAAGAAAAAACAATTGACTTCACCAGGATCCAGGGAGCCAACCCGCCCCAAATCTTGGTACCTCTGAGCACACTGCACCTCACCTCCGCGTATGGATGAGCAGTCATAACTGGAGAAGTCTGGCTGATTCAGAATATCCACAAACATCGTGGGGGTGCCATACAGGAGGGTGCCTCTGCACAAAGGAAAGTCTCAAGATTGGGCTTAGAAGTGAGAGGGAACCCCTTCCCTCCCCACCATGAACTCTTAAGTGGAGACCAAGGTTGCGGGGGGGGGGGGGCAGGAAGAAGCTCAAGGCGTGACCTGTTCCTCTGGTCATAACCCCTCCCACCCCAGGTGTCCCGGCTGGAGGAAGGAAGCATCTCAGAAAAGGAGAGTGGGTCCAGGAATGAGGATTGGGAGGGTCTCATTAGCCCACAGGTGGCTTGTCCACCAATGCTCACTTCTCTTTGCTGATGGCTTCCAGTGCCTTCTTGCCATTGAAGCTTGGTGAAGACAGGAGGAGGGTAACACCATACATTATAGACACCATTGTGCCCCCCACGGAGCCCAGGCAGTGGTACAGGGGACTGGGCAGGACCAGCCGCAACTCTTCTGCAGTCTGGAGATGGAGACAGGAGGCTGGGTCTATCATGGAGTCAGTTCTTTCAGCCAGCAGGGGGAGCCCAGCAAGCTGTCCCTCTCCTTGCCCGGCTGCTCCGTGCAGCCTCTGTACACGTCACCAGGGCCCATCCCAACCTCACCTTCGTGTGCAACTTCAGCCGCTGGCCTATCAGGATGGAGTTGTTTACAATGTTGTGATGGGAAAGAGTGGCCCCCTTGGGGCTGCCAGTAGTCCCCTAAGAAGATAAGCAAGGGACAGCTTGACCTTTTTCTCCTTTTCCTTTGGCCACCGCTCCGTGGAGCTGGGGCCTAAGAGTCACAAGAGTAGCATATGGCTGGGCGGTGGTGGTGCATGAGGCAGAGGCAGGCGGATATCTGTGAGTTCGAGACCAGCCTGGTCTACAAAGCGAGTTCCAGAACAGGCTGTAAAGCTACACAGAGAAACCCTGTCTCCTATGAGAGAAAAAAAGAAAGAGTAGGATATGGTTGTCTTGAATCCATCTCCTCCCTCCGTTTATGCACAGTGAGCTATGCAGGGCCAGATGTTAGGGTGCAGAAATGCAAAGAGAACACAACACCTCTGCCTTTGTCCCGTTCACATGTCATATAAGGTGGCTGGCTTGGAGGACTCCACCACTACCCAGCTGCACAGGCTCAGAGAAGCTCCCTTTCTGAGCCTGATTCCACCTCTCTGAATCCCTGGGGACTCTTCTCTATGTTGGAAGCAACAGGACCCAGAAGGGGAAAGTAGCAAAAACACCAGATGATGATTTTCTGAGGCAGAAAGGAGAGCATGAGGCCAGAATCAAGAGAGTGAGGTTCTCCTGACTTTCTCTACCACCTCCCCATCCCAGGGGCCACATGGGCAGGGCACAGGTTCCATCTGGGATTGGGACTGGAGATCGCTGTCCTACCGAGGTAAACTGGATATTGATGGAGTCGTAACAGGACAGGAATTTCTGGTGGTACCGCAGCTGGGCCAGATTCTGTTCCTTGCTGCCGGCTGCTACCACATCATCCAGCAGCAGGGTCCCTGGCAAAGGGGCATCTACTGAGATGACTGTGGTCAGATCTGGGAGCCTGGGAGACAGAGAGGATGGTGACAAGTGATTAGAAGACGGCCCAGGAAGTCATCAGTTACACCTTGGAATAGGAGGGGGGAGTCTGAGATGTCACTTGATAACCTGAAAACCCAGGACATACCCACCTCTTACTCTTCAAGGCCCCTGGCTGGGCCGTTTCCAGCTCGGGACAGATCTGCTTCAGGATGTTGTAGTACTGCTGGGTTTTGAATTGCTTAGGGAACACAATGGCTTTGCAGCCTACCTGTGGGACGAGAAGTCCCCCTACCTATGATCAGCAGGAAGCCCCAGACTTAGGAGCCCTCACTAATCCCTTGCTCTCTTTCTCTGAATAGCTGTCCTGACACACCCATGTAACAATACACACACACTCCCCTGACACACTCAACCCCCAACACCCACAGCAGCCTTATGGCTGACCCATACCCTCTCTGTGGAGCTTTCCCAACCATATGTAGCCTGAGGAGAGACACTTTGTAATGTTAGCCACTGAGCAAGTCCTTTCTCATCCCATCAGCCTCTCTCTATAAAAACATCATGAGAAATGCCCCTCCCCATCAGGAGCAAGTGGTACCTTTTTGAGGACATATTCCAGTTCTGTGGCCTGGTAGGCTGGGTTCACAGACACCTGGAAGGACAGAGAGGGTATGCCAGTGTCCTGGACAGATGCTCCTCTCTCTCACTACTCCCCTCGGAAAGGGCAAGGCAGCATCCTACACTCTGCCAGGGCTCTGTGGTGAACCTTGGGTGAAAGCACTTCCAAGCTGGAAGCCAGACGGACGCAGGATTGGTTCTGTATCTAAGAGGCTTCCCTTGAATGACATTCCTCCACATACCCAGTTGTGCCAGGTAAAGCCCTTCTCACCAGTATGATGCCTGCCTGGGCAGTGGCCAACTGTATAAGCACCCATGCATAGGAGTTGGGTCCCCACATGCCCAGCCGGTCGCCCCTGCGGAGGCCAATGCTCAGGAGACCAGAAGCAGCTTTGTCCACCTGGTACAAACAGATGGGGAACAACAAGTAAGGTGGGGACAAGCAGGAGGAACCCCTGACCCCTACTCTCTATCTTAGCCCAGTGGTTATTGGGAACAAATGGATTGCCAGGCCTCAGTGGACTCAACGCAGTGAAGGTAGGGAGTCCACACAGTAAACAAATACTCCAGGAACCACTAACCAGGGCACTAGGTCACTTCTGCCTCTGTCTCCTAAGGTTAACAGCGGGGCCCTCAGGAGTTCCCAGCACAGCCCCACAGGCATGCACCCCCTCTCCAGCTCTATTCTACTATAACAGCTAGGGACCAGCAGCTGCTCTCGGAAGGTTCAAGGTCAGTACTTACCTCCTCCTTGAGCTGTGCAAAGTTCAGCCTGGTGTTTTCATGGAGGATAACCAAGGCCTCTCTGTTGGGGAACTTCTGTGCTGTGGCATCCAGGCACTCACCCACAGTTGTGTTGACAAGATGGAAGTCGGTGTGGCCCTGGATGTAACTTAGGCCTCCGATGGGCATGGGATTGGTGCAATTCACCGTTCCAGAACTGTGGAGAGAGAAACCACTGGCTGGACTGTGGAGGCCCCCCTGGCACCAACACTCTGGCACACCTAGCTAATTAGCAGTCCAGCTGTTTAGACTAGGTGGGTATATTGAGGACCAATAGGTTTTCTCTAGATTTCTTTTTCAGTAATAAGGTCTCACGTGTCCCAGGCTGGCCTCAAATTCCCTGTGATTTAGCGGAGGGATGGCCTGGAGACTCTGCCTCCGCCTCCTGAGTGCTGGGGTTACAGGGATGCACTAGCACATCCAGCTTCATTCTCTGCTGGGGCCTGGACGACATCCTTAGGCCCTCTCCAGATCATAAACTCACTGTCCTCACTTGCTCTCTTCTTAACCTGGAGCCTAACCTCCAAGCAGCAGGATGGGGACAAGGCCATCCTAAGCTGGAGGCAAGGGGCCTCTTGAACCTTCCTGGAAACGATAAAGTGCCCAGGGGTGCCCGGGGAACCTGATGCAGAGACAGACAGGTCTCACAAAAAGCTAGCATGCCTGCACCCCAACTCCTGACTCCTGGAGGGTAAAGGTCACTATGGTTCTTCCTAGGGAACCTATGAAGTCCATGGTGGGATCCAGAGCTGGGAACCAATGCTTTGGGTTTCTTAGCTCCTCAAGGGACCAGTTTATCTCTTCTGGGTCAGAAGTTCAACAACAGAATAGGCAAGAGGTTAAGGAACCAGATGGTGGCACCAGAAAGATGACTGAAAAGTCTGAGTAAGAGGCTGTGTGCTGCTGGTTCTGGTGGTACACACCGGTATGATCTGCCAAACGTGGAGGAGGCAGGTGGATCATGAGTTCAAGGCCAACCTGGGCTAGGAAAAAAAAAAGGGGCTGTGTGCCTGGAAATGAAGAGTCCTACACCTCACAGGCAGTGCCCCCAGGGTCCCACTTTCGGACCTTGTGGCAAAACAGAGCCTATTGCATCTAGAAAAGGATAGCAGTGCTTGGACCACATGGTGACCGCAAGCACCACAGGGCAACAGGGGAAGAGGTGCTGGTGCCCCAGTAAGGGTGTCCTATGTCAGCCAAGACCGACTGTCCCTAGAAAAGAAA